TATATATATATATATATATCTCATCTCAATCCTTTTAACTTCTTCCCCTCCTACCTCCATCCCCAGATCCCTTCCCATTCTTTCAAAGAACACCCTAATGATCCTACTCACTGTAAAATGAAAAGGACTGCTTAACTCAGCGACCTCAGAAAATTTCACAGTAACTCTAAATGTCTAGTCACAAGCAAAAGTACAGACCCGGACCTGCTTACTTCATGAGTGAGCAGCGAAATGCCTCACACCGTCTTTTGACTACAGTCCCTGAACAGATATTGATGCCCATGGGTCCACAAGGAGACTCAGTTCTGTGTGTGCATGTGCATTGTTAAGAAAAAGGGTATTCCTACTTTTAGTACTGAGATTCCTGGAAGGTCTGTAACCCATACACAGATGGGTAAGAAAGAGAAATGTGTCAGGCAATTAAAATTTTTAACACAAAAGGCCAGGGATTTAGCTCTGTGGTGCCACCGCCTGCCTTGCATGATCGATTCCTGGTACCAAAAAAGAAAAAAAAAAAATTTTTTTTAAACACAGAGACTAGAGGATGTAATTTTTAAATGTTTAAATGCCCAACAATAGATTTACTTTTCTCACTACAGTAGTCTGTATATGGGATAAAAATTTAGAAATATATATAAAACCTAAAAAGTGTTTTGAGGTGGGCTCACACAGCTCAGGAGCACCTGGGTGATGCACTCATGGCCACAGGAGCTGGGATGCTGGCAGGCAGGACAGCAGTGCCCAGAGGCTCTCAAGGAGGTGGGCAGCGGGATATCCCGGGAGCAGGGCATCCTTCGTCAAGGTGGCCTCTGTACAGACTGTGGGCCAAGAGGTGCGTGATGCTCTTTTGGGCACAGAAGGGATCAATGGCAATGCCAGCCAGCACACGCACCCCTCTGCAGCAGCCAGCTCCGGGGAAAGATCTGGGAAGAGAGGGCCCTGCTCCTCACCATCTTCCACCCACATGCGGGGCCCAGAGCTCATGACTCTTTGGATTCCGCATCCAGAGCATCTGCATCCTTCTCTCTACACATCTCAGTTCCGGAGAACTGCTACTGTTAACTGTGTAGTGCTGCTGGATGACAGGAACCTTACCACTAAGAGCAATAACTGAGCCAGGCACAGTGGTGCACCTCCATAATCTTAGTGCTTGGGAGGCTGAGGCATGAGACTGCAAGTCTGAGGTCAGCCTGGGCAACACAGGGAATTCAAGGCCAGCTGATCTGCACAGTGAGACCCTCTTTTTTTTTAAAAAATGAATGGGGCCAGAGATTTAGCTCAGTGGTTCCGCCGCCTGCCTCACAAGCGCAAGGATCTTAGTTCGATCCCCAGTACAAAAACAAAACAACAACAACAACAACAAAATCAAATTTTAAAAAGTGAAAACAACATAGTAATTTGGGGAATTCTTGGTAGTTACTAAATAAAAACCAGAATGTAAATTTAAATATAGTAATTTTAGTGGTTTTATGCTCCCCACTTACATAAAACAGCATTTTTATTAGTTTTTGGCCATGTTTTTCTATTTAATCACCTAAATATTGGTAATATTGCTAATACTACTTTGGAAATTTAAATACATGAATGCATGCTTCAAAAATCTTACTTACATGTGATGGCGTTTACCTTTCTCTCCACTGCCCTTGTCTCAGCCTCTCCAGGAAGGCCCACCATCAGTCTCCCCACCTCTGGGAAGGCCCCTCCCCTCCACAAGATGCCCACATAAGCTCTAGCAGTGCTGAGGCTGCACTTTCCAGCCTAATCCATTAAGACAGGGCCTGCTGAGGTCTCAGGTCTGCTTGTGACCCACATCTGCCCTAGGTCTTATCTAGAACTTCTGTTCTGGAACAGCTTTTCAGAGAAATTTGCTTATTTATTTTGAGACAGAATCTCACTATGTAGTCCAAGTTGGCCTCAAACGCACTATGTACCATAGGCTGGCCTCCAACTTGTGGCAACCCTCCTGCCTCAGCCTCCCAAGTGTGGGGGTTACAGGGGTGTGCCACCATGCCCAGCTCACAGAAACTTCAATAATGTGAAAGCACATGGCTGGGCAACAGCTCAGGGCCCTGAGATTGATCCCTAGGCCAGGAGATGGGGAGACCCCAAGTTTTGAAGACAAAGGGCACTGAATCTAGAAAGTCAAGTGCCACACAACCGTTTCTATGAGATGCTTCTTGTATGTGGGGCAACTGCTCCAGGTAGGGCCTCCTCCATTTCCTGACACATGCACAGCGGCACCGTACCCCTCTAATTGCAACTCCGTGAAGTAGGAGGAGAAAAGGTATGTCAGTGTCCCCAAGCCCACAGCTGTTAAGAGTCACCAACAACCACTTTGCTAATGGCAAAAGAAGCGTAGACACTGGAAAGTAATGGAGTCTGGTTTTGCGAACACAAAGGGTAGGAGTCCTACTGAACCACTTTTCCCTGTATTCTTGTTACTGCAAACAGGGTTGCTGTCATTGGTGTCATGGGCTAATGTGAATATTAAATGAGGCCATCAGTGTGAAAGTGTTCTGGGCTGGGGATGTAGCTCAGTGGCACTTCACCTGTCTAGCAAGCACAAGGTCCCAAGTTCTATCCCTGGTACTGAGGGGGAAAAAAAGAGAGAGAGAGAGAGAGAAAAAAAGAAAGCATTCCAATAAGCCTTCCTGTGATTAAATACGAAGGGACCCCTTCAATAAAGCAACCCCTCAAGCTTGATGGCTAGCAAGTCAGATGAAGAAAAAGAACACTGCTAGCTGGATTTGGTGGTCACAACTGCAATCCCAGCACTAGGGAGGCTGAGGCAGGAGGACCACTGCAAGTTTGAGGCCAGTCTGGGCTTCATTACATAATGAGTTCAAAGCCACACTGAACTACGGATCGAGACCCTGCCTCAAAAACCAACCACCCCCAAAAACAAAACAATACAAAACAAAAGGCTCCTGTCCTTGACTGAGATGCTTGTAACCCAGCAGCAATTTTCACAATCATAGTTTTTCTTTCAGTACCAGGGATCGAACTCACAACCTTGCACTTGCAAGGCAGGTGTGGTGCCACTGAGCTAAATCCCCAGCCCTTTAATCATACTTTATGACCATGACAGTGTCGATGAAGTCATGCTAAAGAAACCCTGACCGAACCCCTAGAACCACAAAAGACAAGGCCCAAGCCCTCTTTTTTTTTTTTGGTATCAGAGATTGAACTCAGGTCCTTGTGCTTGCCAGGCAGGTAGCGGAATCACTGAGCTAAATCCCCGGCCCTCATTTGTCTTTCATAGAAACCTTGGCGGGTGGCCATGGGCTAAGACAGCTGAGAGACTTGGAAATTAAGCAACACTGGAAACTCACTCAGACCAACTGTGAGGCCACCCCAAAGGCCACCACACACAGGGATTAGAACACGTGGAGTAAAAGCAACAGAGTGGAACCACTTAGGTGCAACAATAGTACTATATTTCTTTAATAGGACTCTATCGTTTAAAGGTACACCCAGAAATATAATGAAGGAGGGAAACAGGTGGGGCGCACACAAGAAGGAGATCAGCAGCTAGCTGGTAACTGGTTTACTGAGGGATTCTTTATGCTATTTGTTACATTTGTATCTGTTTCAATTCTCTATTAAACGTCCCTGGAAATGCTGGGGGTGCTGGATCTTGATTCAAAATCCAAATGTGCAATTGGGGCATGGCAGTGCTGGCCTAAGTTCTAGGCTCAGGAAGCTAATATGCTGGAGGATGCATGAGTCCAGGAGTTCCATACCAGTCAGGGCAACCTAGGGAGGGCCTGTTTCAAAAGCAACAGTAATTATCTTGAAAATGTGAAAAAGCAGAAATTCAGTCTGGGTATTGATGGCAGGAAGGCACTGCTGCCCCTCTGCCTGCTGGGGTGAAGGGTCTGAGTCCCTGAGGTTATAAACGCACACTGTGCAGAACAGACGGCACTTGGGATTTGCTGTGAAACACTTCACAGAAGGCAGAAAGGGAAAAAGCGAGAGTAAACACAACTGGCAAAATCCTATAGTAATGAAGCTGAGCAATTCTACAATATCCCACTTTTACGTCTGAATATTTCCTTAACACTTAAAAAAATAACTGATATTTGTTGGCATTCTTTAACCACATTGCAAACATGTACTAACCTGTAAGACAAACAGGCCAACACACGTGAAGAACAAAGTCTCCAATCTGAATAGATCCAAAGCCTCAGCACCCATCTTGCACTTCCTGTGCAACCAGGGAGTGGCTGCCACATGGCTCAGTCTTGGGAAGGAGCCAACTGTGGTGCCTAGCACATGTGCCTGAATGTCTAAATAGGCAACCTTGGGGCTACAGATCCATGTCTGAGACACAATGACTACCATTCAAACCAAAGAGTTGGCACACCTGTAAACCAGGCTGAGGTCAGAGAGTCACAAGTTTGAGGCCAACGTGGGCAAACTGGTGAGCCTGTGTCTCAAAACAAAAGGAAGGGTGCAGCTAAGTGTCAGAACACTTGCCAACCTGTGGCAAGGGCCTGGGCTCTGTCCCCCACGCTGCCCACCTGAAAGAAAAACCATGAACACTCAGGAGCATGCTCCACTTCTCTGCACCTCGGCACATTTCCTACACCCCGTTAGTCCCTCCTTCTGACCCTGACACCAGCTCTACTCCCTCCCTCCAACTCTCCTGCTGGACTCTTTACCCCATATGAGGCCCTCAGTCTAAGCACAACTGAGACCAATGCGAGAGTGGACATCTGCTCCCACAAAATGTGAGGCAAGGGCCCTTCCAGGCAATGGTGACCTCCAAACACAGCTCCAGGAGCTCTCCCCAGATGACCTCAACAGGTACAAACTCCTCCCAGATGCTCCTGCTTTTCACCAAGCAGCATGGCGTCTTCAGACCCTGGCAATCTACTGAGCATGGTGCTTTCTGATTAAGTTTAGGCAGGGGTGCTGGGTGTGGTGGCACACATGTGATCCCAGCACTCAGGAAGCTGAGGCAGGAAGGATTGCTGCAAGTTCAAGGCCAGATCCTATCTCAAAAACACAATAGACAGAAAGATAAATTAAAAAACAGTCCGGGATATAGCTTAGTATGAAGGCCCTGGGTTCAATTCCCAGGGCCAAAGGGGGAAAAGGGGGCTGGGAATGTAAGTGTTAAAGTGCACCTGCAACATCAGCAAGGTCCTGAGGTGTCTACCCACTATCACAAAAAAAGGTGGGTGAGGACTGGGGATTTAGCTCAGTGGTGCCGCTGCCTGCCTCACAAGTGCAAGGTCCTGAGTTCTGTCCCCAAAAAGGGTGGGTGAAATGCAACAAAAACTAGAAATCCTGGGCTGAAGACACAACTCAATAGTAGAGTACACACTTAGCTTAGCAAGCATGGAGCCTTGGGTTTGGTCCCCAGCAACACACACATACACAAAGAAACCCTGAAGAAATTCAAACACATTTTGAAAACTGACGAGTATTAACTACACACACACACACACACACATATATGAAATTACCTTAATTCAGAAGTGCTTCTGGTCTGGACTCCAACACATGTAAATCTGTCTGTAACAAAAGAGAGGGCTGTTTGTATAGTATTCAGGTTGTGCTGTTTTGCAAACACTTAAAATGTAAGTAAGAGTTCTTCTCTATTACTACAGCTTCCCCCCAGACTGTTTCACTTAGTAATACTGCAGCATTTCATTTTTTTTCTCTTGGTACTGGGTATCGAACTTGGGTCCTTGTACTTGTGAAGCAGGTGCTGGAACCACTGAGCTAAATCCCTGGCCCTTCATTTTTCTTTTTCTTTTTTTTTTTTTTGGTACCAGGGATCGAACTTGGGTCCTTGCACTTGCAAGGCAGGTGGCAGAACCACTGCGCTAAATCCCCAGCCTAGGCCCTTCATTTTTTAATGTTGAAAAGGAAATTCTGATCTCAACATTTTATTTTTAAAATTCCCTAGAAAAGCCCCAGGAAAAATACCCTGAACACAACTGGAAGGGATCTGGGTTAGAAGCCTGCTATGAAAATCACTGTGACCCTACAGGCTCCTCCTCTGCTGCCAGCACAGAGGCCTGGTCAGAGGGCCATTTCTAGCCCATGCTTCTGGGGCATCTGCAGGGGAGACACCCGACTCATTCAGATACACTTCAGCCCAAAAGGAAATGTCTAGTTCTAGATCACTCCTGAAACAGCTGCTGTGTTTTTCCAAAAATTGAGTTAGCTACAAGCACGTCACACGGTCCCCAAGTGAACTGTGAAGAGATTGCACCATCCTGACTCATCATCTCAGGAATCCACAGGCCTGTGGGCCCAGACACACAGCAGGCCAGGGTTAGGGGAGGTGTCACCAAGCCAAACTTAGGACTCTAACGCATCTATTTAACAGAGCAGTTTAACTGAGGAATTATGCTGCTTTTGTAAAAACAAGCACAGCACTTTCCTGGTAACAGAAGTAGGTATGGAAGGAAAAGTTCAAAAGCTCCTCAGAAAGTTAAATACAGAATTAACCATGTGATACAGCAACTCTACTCCTAGGTGTATACCCCGAAGAACCAGAACAAGGGTTCAATACACACAGATGTTAAGAATTCTAGCTTAGCAGCTATATTCACTGGCCAGAAGGTGGAAGCTACTCAGGTTCCCATCAGTGGGTGAGTGGAGAAAAATGCGGTCTATCCACAAAATGGAGTATTATTCAGACATAGCAAGGAAAGAAGCATGGATACATGCTCCAACGTGGAAGAACCTCACAAACATGTTCCATAAAGAAGCCAGACACGAAAAGTCACATAACTATGCGCGATCCTGTTTCTATGGAAAAATCCCAGATAGGCAAATGCATCATGACAAGACTGCAGTGGTCACCAAGGGCCATATCAGAAGAGCAGTTCACGAGCTGCTTCCCCTGTGGGCTGATGAACATGCAGAATTATGCAGAGGTGATGCCTGTACAACACTGTGAATGCACTGAGTGCCAATGACTGTTCTTTTTTAAATGGTTTAATTTTATGTTATGAGAATTTCACCTCAAAAAAGAAAATGTGGGTGTGGAAGTGGAAGTCGGGGAACACAGAAGATAATCAGTAAATGCAAACTACTGCCGCCTCCAAAAACCCTCATGGTAAGGTGGTCTTGCGAGCGCAGCCCTGAGCTCAGGCTTGCTGCCACTGACCTAGGTTCTAGGTGAGGGCACCACGGGTGCTCTGCAGCCCCTTCCTAGCTTGTAACCACCACCAGTCTCAAGGAGAGAATTCCTCCTATAAAGCAAAGGCACACTGATCCCAACATCCGAATGTAACTCCTTCCAGGAATGTTCCATTTTAAGAGACAAGAAAAGAAAAACTAGGCAGAAAAGTAAATGACAGAGGGCTGTGTGTGAAATGCCTAGACTGCCTTCTGCTCAAGTCATTAAACGAAGCTGAAGTTCTCTGTTCTCTTAGAAAAGAGAGTAGGTGGCCAGTGTGTGTGTTCCTGATGCCAGAGCCCAGGTGACCATGGTGAACACCATCCCTCCTCCACAGCCTGGAGCCACAAAGTCGCGCAGACTCCAGTCTAGCTGAAAACAAGCCCTATCTTCAGGGTCTTCAGCTGACTCCACAGCATGCAGAAGCCAGTGCTGCAGACAGGGTACTGGTCCCACAGAATCGTAAGTCTTGGCCAGCAGCACCACACTTAGAGAACTAGGGACTTAACAGAACCAAACCCTAGAGTGGAAATCTCACAACTAAGCCTGCTGGGACCAAAGGTAGAGTGGAAAGCTGAGAGGCACGGGGTAGGTGTTAGGGGCCGACAATACCCATAGGTGGAAATGATGAGGGCCAAAGGACTAGGCAGAAAGGAGAAAGACTCCCAGAGCAAGGAAAAACTCACCAAGGTCACTCTAAAGGCAGATCTTATAGGCCTGCATGGATGTGGAAATGAGAGGAAGAATGTGTATTTGGTGAACCTTTTATTTTCTCTTTAGAAAGGCTGCCAGATGTGGTGGCATATGCTTATAATCCCAGACCTCAGGAGGCTGAGGCAGGAGGCTACCCAGGCTGGCCCGAGTATATAGCACAGTGAATTTAAGACCAGCCTAAACTATAGAGCCAATCTATGTCTCAAAAAGTGAGAACAAAAATGAAAAAAAGTAATCCATCAGAGAAGGCACAGGTTAAAGGAAGAGACAGTGATAAAAAATAAGGCCAAAAGGATTGGGATGTAGCTCAGTGGCAGAGCATGTTCTATCCCTGCACCAAAAGGGAAAAGGGTTCCAGAGTTTATAGAACCATTCTTAGTCAAACTTAAAAATAATTAAAATGGAAAAGACGTCAGAGTAAACACAAATGCATCAACTTCATGAGCAAACTCAGCACACACAGAACCTCTGAACCACATCAGACCTCTCCCAGCCCGCAGCGCAGCGCAACACAGAGGGACTTCCAATGCCAGGCAGCGGCCCGTGCAAGCGCCCTGTTCCATCTTCTGTGTGCGGCCAGCTACAACTCCCGCAGTATAGACTCTCCGGGCTCTGCTACAGCACTACCTTTTCAGATCTGACTGATCTGAAGTAGTGTGCTCAGTGCTGGGGTTTCTGTTCGTATCTGTGATGCTGAGGCTTCTCTGAGCTTCACCAATGTGCTTGAATTTCTTGTCCTCCTGCCTCGGCCCCCCAGGGTACTGGAATCATAGGTGTGCACTACCCACATCTGGACTGTAGTTGTTCCCCCCCACCTTTTGTGTTTATTATCTAGTTTCAAGTCTAGCTTTATTACCTTAAATGCCTTAATTCATTAAAGTTTTCCCCAATGTATTTTCTGTGTAAGCATTTGAAGCTACACAATCATTTCCATAAAACCACCTTGATTCTGACAGTAAAAGAACATCACAAACCCTGCAAAGTGGATATACTGTAACTTGATGATTAAAAACAAAACAAACTTCATGTTGGGTGCCTTTAGATGAAATTAAAAGTTCTATATTCCAGGTTATTTTTCCTTCAGAGAGAAAAGAAGAGCAGCAAGACAGGAAAGATATATATATGTATATATTTGCCAAGAGTTGCTTTTAAGGCTTCTTCATTAAAATAAATGCGTCAGCAAACAATCATGGTTGGCAAAAGTGTGTGTTTAATAGAATCTTCAGGCAGATTTCCCACCTGCCTGCCCGGCTCCTCCCTCCACTTTAGGGCCCTAAGATGTCTGAGGTCTCATTTCACAAATAAGCAGCAGACAAAAGTACTTTACAAGGTACAGCACAGTGGATATGGAAGACTAAGGACCCAATTCTTGCTTTAAAAGTCTTGGACTTCCCTGCCCCATGCAGTAAAGCAAGTTTTATATACATTGCCCATGTATTCTCCTAACATTTTCTTAGATAAATTTAAATATTTTACAAAAAAAAGGCTTTTTCTCTCCAAACATAACTTTGAGTGAAATACAGATTCTCCACTTGTGAAGTTGTTTTCTTCACTAAAGTGTAAATGCTAATAGGAAGGGTAAATGTCTTTTGCCCACTGGAGGTCACTGAAGTCTGCACTGCAATGTGCAGAAGGCACTTGTGTTTTCTGAGATCTCCAGCAAGGGTCTCAATGAGCACTCAGAATTGCGGTCCTCCAAACCTCAGCTAAGGCCTCCAAGTGCCCAGTTACAGAGGCAGCTGGGGAGAAAATGCTAAGTAAACTCGATTCTAAAATTACGAAAATTAAAACTAAAAACAGCATGGACCAGTTCTTAGTCTAGAATAAAACTACAACAAAATACAAAGTGTTCATTCATGAAGATTCAATCCTGCTTCAATCTCGTAAATTATAAAATACAAAAGTGCCCGTTTTAAGACAAAACTCAAAACAGTACTGAAAGGGGTTTGTGTCAATATACAGAAAGAGTCAGTCCCACTGAGCCAGGGCCCAAGGAGCTACACACGCACAGGCCAAAGAGCGACCTCCCTACTGCTGGGCCAGAAGTGCTGTCCTATTGGCCTTCATCTTCCCCAGCCGCTTGGCTCGGTGGCTACTGGTCATTTCCATCTCTTCAATCTTGGTCCAGCACTGTAATTAACTTTTCATTGTAGCTTCCTCTTTTCTGCTTTCAGTTCATCTTCAACTTTCTCAGTATTCTCAGGAGCAGTTTTGTATCTCAGCACCTGTCCCTCAAGCCAGCTAATACTTTGCTCCAAGGTAGTTATATCCTGTTCTGCTTTTGAAAACTTAAATTCATATTCACTAATTTGCCTGTTGGCATCTTGATGAACTACAAGTCTGAGCCATTCTGCAGTCCTGCCAGGTCACCTTCTGTGCCATCGTTCCTGGAACACTTTTGCCATTCTTCTAATCTGTGATAACAGCTCTTCCTTTTCTCCAGCAAGTCTTCGTAGCCTTACATCTAGTGGCCCTTCTCCCACTGACTCCAATTGAGCAGCTTCCCAAGACACAAGAGTAACAGCTATAATCACTGGTCAGGACTGACATCACCACTGGGAGTGCCATCAGGGATTACAGCTAAGCCATGTTTTCTTCCTGTCTTCACTGTCTCCCGCAGATCAGCCAGTTTCTCTCTGAGCATATCTTGCTCATTCTTAAGGCAGGCAAT